TTCCTGAATTTCATGTGTTGTAAACCGTAAAAACGGGTGAGCTAAAAGATCTGAGGACATTGACATGGGCCAACTAATAATGGCTTGAAAAACCGGTATCTCCAAAATGGCAAGTCTTGTAGGATATTCCTGGTGTGCAGTGGTTAGTACCTACCAAAAATGGTGCCAGGAAGGACAACTGGTTAACCGGCATCAGATCGTGGATCATGGCTCATGGATGCATGTAGGGAACAAAGGCTAGCCCATCTGGTCCGATCACACAGAAGAGCTACTGTAGCTCAGATTGCTGAAAACATTAATGCTGGCCATGAGAGAAAGGTATCAGAACACAAAATGCATTGCAGTTTGCTGCGTATGTGGCTGCATTGCCACAGACCAGTCAGAATGCCCATGATGACCCCTGTTCACCAGTGTAATTGTCCTTAATGGGGACTGGACCATGGAGCAATGAAAGTAGGTTGCCTGGTCAGATGAACCATGTTTTCTTTTAGATCAGGTGGATGTAAAAGTGTGTGTGCATTGTTTACCTGGAGAAGAAATGCCAGCAGGATGCACTATGGGAAGAAAGCAGGCCGGAGGAGGTAGTGTTATGCTCCCAACCCAGTACTCAAGTACCCCCTACCAGTCCAGGATTTAGGGATTGACCAGTTGTGTCTCAAGTGTTTTTTTTTTATTTTTTTTTTAATAGACACAACAGGGTAATGCCTAAATACTAGACTGTTAGTATGTACTTGAAAACTGTGTTAGGAACCACTGCTCTAGACAATGTTCTGCTGGAAAACCTTGGGTCCTGGACACGTACTACCTAACTAGAGATTGCTGCAAACCACATACATCTCTTCATGGTAATGGTTTTAACTGGTGGTAGTGACCTATTTTCATCCTCACTGCAAACATTGTTCAGCAATAGTTTGTGGAACATGATAAAGAGTTCAAGGTGTTGGCTTGGCCTCCAAAATCTCCAGATCTCAATGCAATCCATGGAGATCCCACCACACAACTTGCAGGATCTGCTGCTAATGTCTTTGTGCCAGATACCACAGTACACATTCAGAGGTCTTGTGGAGTTCATGCCTCGATGCATCAAAGCTGTTTGGGCATCCCGAGGGGGACCAACATGATATTAGACAGGTGGCTTTAATGTTGTGGCTGATCAGTATATAGTAAATCCACTTAGATTGGCTGTAATAAAACCAGATCATGTAACCATAATAGGTAGAAGTCAGTGACCTTCTTTTTTGTAAGGGAGCAGAGAGAAGCATAATGTTGGGTAAGATTAAAGGGTCTTTGTTAAATTAAAGGGAACCTGTCATGATAAATACAACTTAATCTTAATCTAAAATGGTAGTGAATCAAATTTTTATCTATACATTGTGCTGGCAGAATTACAAGAAAATGTCTAGGTTTTTCTAAAAAAAAAACCATCCCTTTCCCCCTCCACACAGTCATTTTAGTCTGTGCAGATTTGCAAAGAGATAAGAAGCCTGTGCCATGCAGATATGTTATCAGGAAAAACCTCCTCTGGGCATCTCTCAAGTTGAGCCTATATCCTGCGTGAATTATGCTTAAGGGAAAGCAATGCCCTCAAGGGGAAGTAGGACGGAGGGGCAGGCTCTGTATGAGAGAGGAGAGAAACAGTCAGAATGATTTATTGTAACTGTTTTTACCACGCAATCTGAGAATGGAGACAGAGAACAGATATGTTTTTTTGGGGTTTTTTTTTTTTACACAAAGCTGTTAAATGTTGGCACTGTTACTATCCTGGAACTTTGCAGAATTTGTAGGTTAGTTCTACTTACTAGAAAGATTGGTTCTTCTTACTTGAACTTGGTCCTCGTGGGCACCACCATCTTCTTCTGTCGGATCCTCTTCAGCATTTCGCGAGAGTACACTATTGAGGTCTATAGAGATTCCTGTGAGACATCAGGATCCTCCACAGATAGAGACAATTCTCTGCAGCCATAATTGGTGACGGCAGAGTGCGTTGACACATCTAGGCAGCAGTAGCAACCCCCAGTGTCTAAAAGTGTCAGGTGTAGGAAAGATATTCATGTTTATTGATCCAAAACATGGACCAAGCTGATATTGATTATGTGGAAGCAATTTGGAGAGTGAAGGACTTTTTACGAAAGCTTGTATCAGAAGTCACAAACTAGAAAAAAATGACAAAGAAACAGAACAGAGAAAACGATAAACATTTCTAATAATAAGTATATAATCTTGACTTCTTTAACCCTCAAACAGTAAAGTCTGTAATACAATGGAGACTTAGTGACATCATTTATATCTACTCTGGATGTTTTCATATATTTAAAAAAAACTGAGGCTTTTTGGCTTTGGTAATGGAATTTGCAAGCTTTCAGCTTTTACTAATAGAACTACTCTATTTGGCCTGAAATGTTTCTGTATTTGTCAAAGAAATGGCTGGAGTAAGTCTCACCATTAATTACTTGCACATTCAAAAAATATTATTAAAAAAAAAACACCTCCATACCCCGGAGATCGAGATTTCATTGTAAATTAAGTAGCTTTTCCACTGCCTTTATTTAGGGAATATTATAGTGTTTATTGTTTTATAATAACTTGTTTCAAACGAGCAATGCATTTTGATTGCATGCTGCTGAGAGACTCTTGCAGTGTCCCTATCCTCTCTCAATGTTATAAATCGAACTCGGTTTCGATTAATAAAAGGGGTCTTTATTTAGCACACATAAAGAAATACTCTTTGTTTATTATGCAGATTAAGAAAGTATTATTTTTTTTTAATTCTATGTATTAGAGCATTTCTATAGCAAGCTTTGTTTACCAAAAACAATGCTTTCTATTTTCCACCCAAAAGGAAATTATTGTAAAGCACCCTACCTTCTAAATTCTAATGTTATCTCTCCAGCTTACTCCTTACTAAATCTTATTAATGGAATCTCTCCAGCTACGGTTACGCACAAAAATCTTTTCAAACTGCCCTTTTAGTAAATCTTACTGACAGAAACTCTCCAGACAGCCCATTTACTAAATCTTACTAACAGAACCTATTTACTAAACCCTAAACATACAATCTCTCAAGCCAGCCCTTTACTAAATCTTACTCACATAACCAATTAAACTAATCTCCTTTCTAAATCTTATACTTTTCTAGGATTGCTTTTTTGGAGGGATAGTTCCTATTTGGGATCTGAATCTCTTTGACTTGTTCTTCTTGGAGGTCCATATTATTGGTGTGTCTGAGTGTATAAAATAACTTTACAGTATTAATGTAGATGTGTAGATTTGTAATCCAGCCCAGATAACTATTGAGCAGAGCACTCCACCTATCTACTATGGCTCCCATGTTGCATTTAGTGTAAGACTTACCGATGTTGGATTGCTGTGATTTAGTGGTGGGCTTAACCCAAAATGTCCAAATGGTGTAACTGAATCCCCATATTTGTTTGATTTTAAGAAGCATTGTAAAATGTAAAACTGTATTTTTGTGTTTGTGCTGTTCCGTTAACAGTATTTTTTTTTGTCAATCTATATTTTATTGTGCAAGTAGTGAAGACAAGACAAGTTTGTGACGCCACGATAGCGGAACAAAACAGTGATATCCACATAAGTCCATCCCTGCAAGCACGCTGTCTTGGCATCATACTTGACTCTGGTCTCACCTTTGAGTCTCACATCCAGTTTGTTGCCAAGTCCTGTAGGTTCCAACTCAAAAACATAGCCCGCATTCGCCCCTTTCTTACGCAAGATGCTACCAAGGAGCTTGTCCATGCTCTAGTAATTTCCCGCATGGATTACTGTAACCCTCTCTTGATTGGTCTCCCCAAAAGCCGTATTGCCCCGCTACAGTCTGTAATGAATGCTGCAACTAGACTGATTTTCCTCTCTAGTCGGTCCTCTCACAACTCACCCCTCTGCCAGTCCTTACATTGGCTCCCTGTATGCTATAGGAGTCAATTCAAAGTGCTAACCCATACATTTAATGCACTGAACAATTCTAGCCCCACTTATATCTCTTCACTAATCCATAGATATGTCCCTCCTTGTACCCTCCGCTCTGCCCGTGACCACCTCCTGACCGCTGCTCGCACCCGTACGGCCAACTCGCGCTTGCAGGACCTCTCTCGGGCGGCTCCTCTCCTATGGAATAGCTTGCCTACTGCCATCAGACTCTCCCCTAGTCTTCAATCATTTAAGAAGTGCCTTAAAACCCATCTCTTCAGGAAAGCTTATGGCCTCCCAGATTAATCTCTACCTTACATATCTGTCTCCTGCTCTCTCCTATGGGACAGTGCTTTGCTCTCTCCTCCAGCTCTGCTTCACTCCTACTTGATATTTCATGTCCTAATGTTTCTAATACCCCACCTCCTATAGTCTGTAAGCTCATTTGAGCAGGGTCCTCTTCAACCTATTGTTCCTGTAAGTTTTCTTGTAATTGTCCTATTTATTGTTACATCCCCCCTCTCAAAATATTGTAAAGCGCTACGGAATCTGTTGGCGCTATATAAATGATAATAATAATAATAATAATAATAATAATGTAAGAACATACATTTTATGACACTGTCATGGCATTCAGATTTCTTGCACATTTTTGTTTTTGTTTATGTAGATTATAGCATGCTAGTCAGGTATGTCTAGATTGAAAGAGCAGTTAACTATCTTGGAAGAAAGTCTAGACAAATTAGATAAAAGTATAAACATTAAAACAGTAGAAGTTAAAACAAGCTGCCATCAATGGTTTTTATCATAAGTTGTAAGGCATAGCTCGGGTACCCTGCACTGGCCATTTGGGCAGTAACTGAATATTGCTAGCTTAAGCTAAGGTGAAACAGGGATGGAATCACTGAACTAAGCTCTCTGAAATGTAGTTGCTACACACATACTGTATTAAGAAACAATATAAAGAGTGGCTTAAGAGAAAAATGCAGGCATTTGCGATGTGATGTGAGCAGGTGTAAAAGATATTGCAGGATTAATACTTTCAGGCAGTACAGGAAGGTAGGGCTATATTCACCCTATGTCCAAGCTTGGGAGCACACGGAGGTTACAGGGAGGTGAGACAATACAGGAGCCGAGTGCGGTTCCCCTCCAGTCCCAGTCATCATGGATACACGAACCTGGGCACAAGTGGGAGAGTCCAAGTCCTTCCCTTTAGGGATATCGCTGAGATTCTGTGTGGACTGTCGCCAACAGCGGCGGTGGACCTTCTGCCTGCATGGTCGATGCAAAATGGGTCTACCCCGGCAGGCCTTCAGCCCGGGCATGCCAATGTCAGGAAGTACAGATGCTTGCGAGGTAGGTAAGCCCAGTGGGGGCTCTCTTACTCCCAGTCTCATTGCATCTTGGTCCCTGTCCAGACCCTGAGTTAATACTGTCCATATGCGTGCTTCAATTTTCACCCAGAATTTGTCAAAGAGCTCTTGCAGGTGCTGCAACACACGGTCAGCTGCGTCAGATGGGGCCTTCACGAATTGGGTTGGCAAAAGTGCCTCCGCCATATTAAAATCATCTGCCACGATCAAGATTTGTGTGGAGTTAGCAACGTGGGTGCTTAAAAGGTAGAGCTAGCTAGTGGGGACCAGGATGACTCCACCGGTCCAGGGGTGCGGGGAGGAACCATTAGATGTGAGTAACACTCCATGAGCCATAGAGCTAGGAGATCGTCCGACTCTCCTTTGCTCAAGCTCGCATAGGCCACAGGCTGCGGTGCAGGTGATACGATGATGATGAGTCTCGTGTGAGGTATCCCTGGGAGCCCCGACATCCCCTGTATAAGTTGATTGCTGACTGCAGTCAAGAAAAACAAATAACCAGGGGATAATTTCCGTTTTTCTATTCCAGACACAGGAACTCTCACAGAGCACGATTGGTTTGCTTGGCAGTCAGGCTCCGTCCCCAACAGTATTTTTTTTACCGTAAATTAAAGTGTCCTCTTTGTCCATTTGAAATGTCAGGAGGTTTGAAATCTTAATAATATAACATTTCCATCAAGTCTTCCAACTAAATATAAACACACAGACTGCTAAATACAAACACAGACAGACTGCTGGATACACACAAACAGACTGATACACACTCACACACACTGCTGAATACACACAGACTGCTGAATACACAAACACACATACACACACACTGCTGAATACACAACGACTGCTTAATAAACACACACACAGACTGCTAAATACACGCACACAGACTTCTGAATAAACACACACATAGATAGACTGCTGAATAAATACACACACCACCTGCTGAATACATACACACAGACTACTGAATACACACACACTGCTGAATACACACACAGACTACTGAATATACACGAACAGAGACTGCTGAATATACACACACTGCTGAATATACACACACACAGATTGTTAAATACACACACACACACACACACACACACACACAGCAAGCAGCTCCTCCACATTCCTCACATACTGAGATCATTGAAATTAGGCCATTTCAATCAGTATTGCACCTGCTTTCAGGTCCTGCTGCCATGTTTCCATTTCTTAGTCCTGTAGCTCCTCCCACACCTCACATGCGGATTCTGTTAGTGGAGAGGGCAGGATCATGCTGTAACTTCCTATTCCCACCTCTCTCCACACACAGCCAAGTACCAACAAGTCTAGCTCAGCCTAAGACCACTACACACCCTGGTGGCTGGTGCAGGTGTTGCAGAGCCTTCTACTCAGAAAAATAGCAGCATTTGCAATGTCGGTATTTTTGCAATACCGGCACTGGCCACACAGCCTCAAATACCGACTGTCCCAGTAAAATACAGACCAGGTTGCAACCCTACCAAACCTTTTACAAAATCCTATGAAAAGGACCTTTCTATCCAGACCCCTTAGTATCCATAACTAAACAGACATCTCAATATTTGATACCCTGAACGTGGGACAACCTAGGAAATGCCTGTCGGTAAATCTAAGGTACTAATTTCCTTTGCAATATTTAACCCGTGGCAAATCATGGCTAGGTGACACGTGACAGCAGTAACTATTTTGCGTCTGTCTCTGTCAGCACATAGATATACAAATGTGAACTCAGGCAGTCAGTAAATTAACAATAGGGCCTCAAGAAGATTTCATTAAAAGTCTCACTTTCTTATTTTTTTTTCTTAGCTAGATCCAGATGTACTAAACAACTCATCAGCTAATCTATTTGCACACATCACGTCTGCAGAACTAATTTAGTTGATGAGATAGTTACAAAATGCCTAGTTGTTGTAATGGAGGTGTGCTGAAGTTACTTTATTTCAAGTCTTTGATGTGAGCTAGTGCTACAATCTCAAAAGGTTAGACATTAAAATTTAATAATGAAACTAATGAGGCATTTCAACAGAGCTTGGATGCTCGGTCTAAGATAAAATCATTGTTACCAAGCGAAACAGAAATTAGTTTAGCATTAGAGCTGTCTCACTAGGAAGTGAATATTTTTCCATGCAGTCTGCCTATTAAACAGGACCTCCGATCATAAAACAACTGTCTTCATTTTGCTCTCAGCTGATCTCGGGAGCTAACATTTTCAGTTGAGCTTCTAAAAAATATCTTTGAAGTACCAAAGACATCAGTATATTCCTCTTATATTAATTATTAATTCTATCTATTCTTAAACCAGAGTTAGCGGACTACTACCCTGCAACTATGTTTCGTATTGCAGTTCTTATCATTCTTAGCCAATCTCTTGAGCATCAGTAATCAAGAAGATTGGTCCAGCGCACCTCACCTCAAATGGTAACCTATTAATTGACCCCTTACATCACCGGAAAATATGGCATGGCTGCATCACAACAGAAATAGACAGATAGATAGATAGATTTGATAGATAGATAGATAGATAGATAGATTTGATAGATATATAGATAGATAGATAGATAGATAGATAGATAGATAGATATACATAATATGTATCTATAATAACTTCAGTTCCTTGTTTAACAGAATCAATAGGAATTGCACAATGCATTTTCAAAATGTACTTGTTTTCAATTTTGGGTTGATATTAAATGAGCACTCCATGCACCATACCATCTTAATAGGAAGGAAGTTGTTATGGTGCCATGATGTCCCAGGCAACGGCTTACCTATAGGAGTTAAACTGTTCATGGATGATTTAACCCCAAAATCTAGTATCCTGCGACCGATCACTCTCCCCCTGTCCTTCCGCTGCCTAGATTCTTTAAAGAGGAAGCCATGGATAGGGTGAAGCTCTAAGCAAGTCAGTAGGTCCCCATTTACAAAATGCCTTGAGAAAAGTAAATTAATTTCTCAAGTCATTTTGTTAATGGGGAGCTACTGATTGCATTAGAGCATCAGCTGACACTTAGCCAATCAGCAAAAGTATGAGCAGCAGAAGGACAGAGGGCACATCAATCAGGTGCTATATACTGGGATTTGGTATGAAATCATCTTTGAGGTGAGCTGGCACCAGAGAACTCCTGACACCGTAACTACTTAATTCCAATGAAGTTGCTATGGTTCCTGGAGTGTTCCTTTAAATGTATGTATGTTCACAGACCAACACATGTCTATTTTCTACTTTGGAGATGTATTTCCACACTTCCCTCTTTAGATAGGTGTCTGTAAAACAGACCTTTGTAGGCTTTTCCTAAATGTTCCTAGAGTAGTGTTTGTTTTTTCATCTGTTTTTTTTCCTTAATCTGGGCAGCTGTGGTTTAGAATTGTTGTTTTTTTTGTATGTATACCACAAATATTCCCTTTGTCCACAGAAAATACATATAAACATCCAACTGATTGATTGTTGTGAATATAATAAATTACTTTTTGTTAGAAACAAATTAGTTTTCCCTTGTGGGACTTCGCAAAGGAGGTTCCAATTGTCACATATTTCATGAAAAAAAATATGGAAAATTACCCACAAAATATAAAAGTTTGCTTGTTTTTACATTCTTTTGTATTAAATATCTTTATGTGTGCTAAGAGTTTGCAGACACGTTGATTGTAGTTTTTCTTTTTTGTGGGGGTTTGGGAACTCTTATTTTGATTTTCTGCCAATCTCTTGTTGAGGGATACGAAGAAAAAAATAATTATTGTCCATTCTTCATTTCCAATCAATATTGTTTTCAATGAAATAATCCTTCTTTGGTGACACGTACTTTGTCATTCATGGGGCGAGTTTGCTGGGAACACCGTGCCCTTTGAGTACAGTAAGGTTTAGCATGCATGACCGGTGAACCGCAAACTCAAAATTAAATAATGTCATGTATCTAGCATCTGTAAGCTTGTTTTCCCATATATGTACCAATGTTTTCTGGTAAGTATAAACCTAAGATACTTTTTAAAAGGCTATTTTTGCAGGTATTGGATGCTGTAAACGTAGGCACCCGATAAGAATCTTAAGTCTTGACTTTATTTAATCTAATTGATTTCCTGCTCATTTACAGTTTGATAGAGTATATGTTTAATATTCTATCCATAAACTATATTGTCTACAAACGTGCTAAATTTGATTGAAAGCTCAAGTCTGGGAACCAAGCCGTTTCAATATGATAAATGAGAATGTTTCAGCACTTTCCAAAAGATAGTACAATTTGTTTAACACTTATTCTGTCCTGTAATTAGAGAATAAAGAATTTACTTGCATGGGAGGAATTTTCTTAGTGAATTACTGAACTTTTCTCTTTTTTCAGACTTAAAAGAAGGTCATTACATTTGCAACTGAGCAGTGGCAGAGCTACCAGGACCACTAGGGTGACAATGCCATAGCGTTTTGCCTGCCCTGGGTGGGGGCCCAGGTTAATCAGGCCCTTACCCCTTGCAAAAACATAATTTAATATATTGCCATTTTGGCGGTTTAGGCACTCATTCACTGAGTCAAGGCGCTGCCACCAGGTTCCGTAGTGATGCTCTCATGCACACCGAAAGGAGCAGACGACAAGAGACTAGTGGGTAGGCAGAGTTATAGAGGTCCGTGTGCCCAGTGAACAACAGAGGGAGACAAAACATAGAAAGGCCCAGGGTAGAGAGATCTCTGGCTGTTGAGGCAGCAGGGGAAGACAAATCCATTCAGCAAGACCTCAAAAGAGAAATTAAAGCAAACATGGAGATGCAGACCTCACACTCCTTTACGGGACCACCAGCTGAGCAGTCAGCACCCATGCCATGGGTCTACCAGGTATTAAACAACCTATGGTAAGCAGGAGAAGGTAAATAGTAAAAAGAGTCATACTCCCACACACAGTCACAGTTAGCCAACAACACACACAATCACATCAAACCAGCCCCACACACAATCACACTGAGCCAACCACCACACAATTAAACTTACACAATAAAATATGGGGGCACCTTCATTGATTCTTCCAGCAGGGCCTTGCATTTTCTACTTATGCCTCTGTATTGTATCAATTATACAATTTATTATTAGTAAATGGATTCAGCCACATAAAGGACTTTCTTCATCACTTTCCCATCCTGCTTTGAGTATTACCAAATCTTAAATTGTCCTATGTACATCACAATTA